GGGGTGGGGCGGGTGGCGGGTTTAAGAAGAATTATCGATAAGCATTACATTTATCTGTCATTCATTTTTTCACACATTTTATATCGCATTTATTGTCGAAATATAATCCGAGAGAGAAACGATAAATAATTATTTCGATGATGGGGGAGGGGGAAGTAGAAGAAATATAAAAAACAAAAAGAAAAGAAAAAAGAAAATAAATAATAATAAATGAAAAAGAAGAAAAATAAAGAATAATAAAGAGAAAAATAAAATGTCGCAAATAATTTATTTTCACTTAACAATTGAAATTTCACAATAACTTCGATTTCAATTTTCTCTTTTTATTCGTTTTCTAATATAAAATTTCATTCCCTTTGGACTTATCCATATACGCGCGCTCTCTCTCTCTCTCTCTCTCTCTCTCTCTCTCTCTCTCTCTCTTTTGCTTTTTCGAAAATGAAAAATGTCGGAAGGAAAAGCAAGGAGTCCTGTAAATTCCACGCTAATCCATGCTTTTCCTTGAGAAGGATTTTGAGGTTTACGAGAATCAGTTGGAAGCTGACAGATCTCTTCGAAAAGTTCTGCAAGGGTTTAAAGATCTCTCTCTCTCTCTCTCTCTCTCTCTCTCTCTTAGGATACTTGTCCCTTTTATTCGTTCTCGCTCGTATTAGTTACTCGACGACTTTTCATAAGTCAAAAACAGAAGATAAAGTGAATAAGAGAGAAAGGGAAATATACAGAGTGGAACAAAATTATTCATAAATTATTATAAAAATTGATTGCTCCTGTTTCGACAATTTCTTTTTTTTTTTGGCTCGATCTTTTCGTTCTCTTTTCATTCTATTTGATTTTTTTTCTCTTGCTTTTTTTTTTCCTTTTTTCTTTATTTTTCTTTTTTCTTTTCATTAAAAATCTTCAATTTTATTTCTACGAAACTAACTTGCAGATCTAATTACAGACCCCATAAAAGTCTCGAAGAAGGATTAATTCGATAAACATCACTTAAGAAATTTTGTATCACCCCGTAGATGGGAAACATTTTCCTTTGATTTTTGACAACGTCAGAGTACTCCGATAATCATCCTTATAAATTTCCTCTAAAAGGAAAGATCATTTAATTATATGCGTTGCTACGTCCAATTAAAAAAAAAAAAAAAAAGAAAAAAAAAATTAAAATTTCAGTTCGACGATCGTTTCTTTTCAAAGAGTGAGAGGAGAGAGAAAGAGAGAGAGAGAGAGAGAGAGAGAAATCTTTGTTATAAATAAACATCGATCGTACGAAATAGTCAATTAAAAAGTAAAAAACAAAATAAAAAATAATACTAGAAATACCATAAACTATATATATATATATATATATATATATATATATACATATATATATACGAAGAATATAAATCCAAGATCAATGATCGAAAGTTTCTAGGATAATTTTTAAGAATATATTATTATTACTCAAAAATTTTCTTTTCTTTTTTAAAAATCTTCTTTTTCAGATTGTAAAAAGCTAAAAAAAAATTATATATATATATATATATATATCACTTATTAACTTTTAATCTAATCCATACAAAACAAAATCTCCCATTCTATCATCAAACGTATATCCTATGAAAAACTTTTTCTATTTTAAACAAACTCGTTTCAGGTATACATATAATATATGTATTATATACATATATATTATATATATATATATATATATATATATATATATAATATCATTGAAAATTTCACATAGAGAAGGAAAGTTTTCAAACGCATTAAAGACTTTATCTTTACGAGTAATTTTCTCTGGGAGAAGGGTAAAGGGAGAAGAGAAATACCATACGTTTTAATTACCGTTCCTGTCAGATCGTAAATATCAACCGTTTGTTCCGTGAAAATTGACGCTTTTCAAAGCCATGTCTTCGACATTGAACGTCGAGAAGAGACGAGAACTACTAATACAACGACGACGACGACGACGACGACGACGACGACGACGACGACCTTTCGAATTAGCAAAGTACCGTAACACTCGTTTGTCATAGGACAAACTAACGGAGCTAAATTATTTCGTAATAATAGTAGAGGATTATTTACTATATAAATTTTAAAATGTACAACCTACGTCAAGAATATAATATGACGGTTATAATATATATTTATTTAATTAAAATCATTCGACCTAATCTAATTTAAAATCTATTTTGAAAACTATCATATCTCGATGTTATACGAATTATTATATATATATATATATATATGTATATTTATGCGAACGATTATTTTGTTCTTTGTAATGTTTCAGGATATTTGTTTTCTCCATTAAAAAAAAAAAAAAAGAAAAAAAAAGCGATCGAATAAAAATACTTTCACAAAAACAAATAAAATATCTATAATATTCGAATAAATTCTTTTCTCCTTACGTCAATCGTTCCTATAACTTCTGTAAAAGAAAAAGGTCAAATAAATTATCGTAATAATCATAATTCTCGATCGCTTTTACAAATGATTACAATCAATATATGTATATGATGTATTACAGCTACGTTATGCTTATACACGCGCATACACATACACACGTACGTGTATATATATATATATGTTAAGTATAAAAGCGTCGTTTACCGTTATTAAACACTGTCATAATAATTCAACACTATCGCTCATTTGCAAACGATAACGTTTTATCTTTTTATATTCTCAACTATTACTTTTCATTCCCGTTAACGATCGATAAGCTATATCACTAAAAAAAAAAAAAATATATATATATAAATAGTTTTCTTTTTATCGTCAATCGGAGCTTGTGTCTATCGTACGTAAAACTCGTCGTAAAAAAGAAAAAAAAAAAAAAAAGAAAGAAAAATGAAAAGTGAAAGAGAGAGAAATGGTGAATTTTTCACGATCGGAGGTCGCTCGATGAAAAGAAAAAAAAAAAAGAAAAAAAAAATCACAAAACATGAAACTCGAAACCGGTCGACCTTTTGTCGATCGTTCTCGACAAAACTTAAAGACCTGATTGGCGATCCTTGAAAACAACTGTCTCGAGGTAAAACTGTCTATCGTTAAATTTCATTCTCTTTGTTAATTTTCCATTTCGATCTTTCCATCCATACGTTTCACGCACCCTCTTTTATCCTCCCTTCTACTCCCTTCATCCGCAACAAAGTCTCGAATATCTCGGTAAAGAATTATTATCAAACAGACCAAAAAAAAAAAAAAAAAGGAGAAGAAGAAGCAGAAGAAAGGATTTATCTGAAAGATAGAAAAAAAAAAAAAAAAAAATAAAACAAAAATACGTGTGTACGAAGGATCGTACTCTTCAAGTATTGTAATAGGTATGACCCTGACATATATACGTAGATAGATCTTTTAAATGAAGAGAAATTATACGATCGAACGAATTACAAAGATTTTTCTTTTATTTTTTTTTTTATTGCAAATCTAGGGGAAAAGGCGAAACTTTATTTCTATCTCTCTCTCTCTCTCTCTCTCTCTCTCTCTCTCTCTCTCTCTCTCTCTCTCTCTCTCTCTCTTTCTCTCTCTCTCTCGTTCACTTAACAGCAATGTAAGAAAACCGTAAAGCTCAGCTCTTTTTAAAGCCAACAGCTCTCGCCTAATGAATAATAAATTCGAAGTTCAATTTACCAGGCAGATCGACGACGAGTTGGCGGTATTTAAATCTAGCTACACGAACCAACGAACGGGGAGAATAAAATTAACGTAGTTGTGTTTGAGGCAAAAAAGAAAGAAAGAAAGAAAGAAAGAAAGAAAGAAAGAAAGAAAGAAAAAAAGAAAGAGAAAAAACAGAAAAGATAAGAAAGAAAAGAGAAAAAGAAAAGGGACCAGAAGAGAAAAAGAAGAGGGTGGGAGGGGGGGGTGCCGATCCTCGTGAAAAAAAAAAAAAAAGAAGAGAAAAGAAAAAAAAAAGGAGGAAGAAAGTAAGAAAGAAAGAAATAAAAAAAAAGAAACGAATCATCCGCAAAAAGGGAAAAAAAAAAACAACAAAAACGAAGTAATAATTATCGATAAATAATAATTGCATCGGAGATAAGGAATGAAGAAAAAAAAAAAAAAAAAAAAATGAAAAACTATTACGCTTATTATAATAAATGGACGATTTATATAACGCAATGGCACGTCTAAGAAAAAGTCATCGATACAGTCAAACGAATGAACTCTGTCAATTCAATTCGTTCGATGCAAAGAAAGCGTGCATCGTTCTCTGAATTAAACAAGACGCACGTTGAATAACAAAGTGACCGATTTAATTTAAGTGTCACGATCGCTTTGGCACTAGTCGATCATTTTACCTACGAGTTCTTACTTTAGATTGATCTTTAATGATTTTTTAAATTCATTCATTCATATCATACGTACGTACGTACGTTCACGTGTCACATTTCATCATTATATATTATCCTTTTATATTATTAAATATATTTATATTCATTAATTGGTACGATTAAATAAATCTACGTCGAGGATTCTTAACGACGATATATTAAATAGAACTAAATAAAAATTTATGAAGAGTAGATCAGGAGAAAAAAAAATAAAGTGATGAAGGAGGAAGAAGACGAAGGAAAAAGAAAAAAAGAAAGAAGAAGAAGAAGAAGAAGAAGAAGAAGAGGAAGAAGGAGAAGGAAGAAGAAGACGACGAAAATCAAAGAGTTTATATACGAGGAGAGAATGTAGATGTACGTATAGAGTCATGGCCGAGGACGACCTGGAACCGTTACCAAGACTTTTCGAGACCAGTCTCTTTCGAACGCTCGTCGGCAAGCCTCGGAAGAGAATTACGAACTACGAAGGAATAACGATAACAGCTTGTTTATCAATCATAGATCATCGATAGATCGTTATTAACGTGAGATAAATATATAAAATTAAATTGTTCGAATTTTTCGTGTGAGATAAACCGGAAGAAGAAAGAAAGAGGGAGAGAGAGAAATATCGTCGTTCCTTCTTTCTTAAAAAAAAAGAAAAAAAAAGAAAAAAAAAAGAAGAAGAAGAAAATACAACACACAAAAGAAACAAAGAAACAAACAAAAAGAGATATAAGAAAGGAAGAGAGAGATCGAGAGAACAAAATCCCACAAAAAGATGAGGCTAATTCACCGTTTACTAGTTCTACTCTTTCTACGAGAGGTAAGCTTTTAACTACGTGACTCGGCTAATGAACGTAATTAAGTTCCAACAAGAGTTTCCTCTTTTAATTCATGCATGCATCTGTGTATGTATGTATATATATATATGTGCATGTGTGTGTGTGTGTGTGTGTGTGTTAAATTGGCGCGTGTTACGATAGGCACACGAAAAAATGCATGAATTATTAATTAAAACTTTTTTCTCCGTAAATAATACGATCGATCAATGATCGTTAAAAATACATACAAGAATGAAACAATAGTAGTTTAATTTAATAATTTGTTCATTAATTCGAGAGCTTACAATTTCGAAGCACGAAGTATGAAAAATTCGAATGAATTGTTCCTTTTCTTTTCTTTTCTTTTCTTTTCTTTTTTCTTTCTTTTTTTTTCTTTTTTTTTTTTGCCATTTTCGTAAGCTATTTAAAATGAAAAGAAAAGGAAAAAAAGAAAGGAAAGAAAAGAGAAGAGAAAAAAAGAAAGAGAAAAATCGTACTAACTCGACATAAGACTACCTATCCAATCTAAAGTAATTATTCGTATAATTAATCAAAGTAACTTGAATGTAAATAAAACGAAGGAAATAAACGTGAGAATGCTAATTAACGAAGTTACCGTCGAAACGAGCTAACTACATTTCTAATTTCAATGAAAGCATTAATTAAAAGTAACACACACACACACACACACACACATATATATATATATATATATATACATATTTATGTGCGTGTATGTATTAAACATACGAATTTCAATTTCAATTTTGCGATTTTTAATTTTGCATTTTTTTTTTTTGTTTTCTTTCTTTCCGCAGGCATACGCTGCGGTAGCTAGGAAACCGCCAGCTTTTTCAAAGCCGGTCTATTCAAATGCCTATCTTCCGGCAGCTATGCAGGTGGGTGTATGGTTTTCAATCGATAAAAAAAAAAAAAGAAAAAAAAAAAAAAGAAAAAGAAAAAAAAAGAGAGGATGAGAAAAAAAGAGAAAAGAAAAAAGAAAAAGAAAAACAGTAAAATGAATTATTACCATCGATTCGATTGATGTAACGAACGAATTCTTTTTTCATATTCAGGTCATTTTCCATGCGGTTGAACAACTAAAAGCTATTCAAGCAATGGAAACAACTCCCACTACGAGTATTTCCTCTTCTACTGTTGAAACGAATCAAGGGACAACATTATCCACTGTGATCGAGGATAATTTTAAGGAAACAGAAATAATGGAAATGGCTGAAACTGCAACGGAAATGATTAATAAAAAGAAAACATTAACTAACGTCGAACATTACGTTTCAACTTTGGCAACTATGATAGACGATCGGGATCAGGAATTTCTTGAAATCCACGAGGAGACGCCGGAAATGAATTATGCAACTCCGGAAACGAATTACGAGAAACCGGAAACGGCCGTACAGTTTAAAGAAATTAATCAAGAACTTCCGGAAATAAATGAAGAGGAATCGAATGTCGTACCTACGACAACCCCGGTATCACTTACGAAAGATTCCAAAATTCAAAATCAACCAAGTATTGATAGCATTGTCGAAGGGATCTATGAAATAATAAAACCTACCTCGACGGAGATCTATGATGATCTATCGGACGATAATTATGACGATAACATTAAAATAGAAAAGATGGAAGAGGAGGATGATGAAAACAGGTAGATTTTATAATTCTTTCTTTTCATTTTTGTCATTTTGTTTTTGCAATTAATCAGAAAAGTATTAATCGTTAAGGCTTATCTAAAAAGGATAAAATTATTAGAAATATCGAAGAAATCAAAAAAAAAAAAAAAAAAAAAAAGAAAAAAGAAAAAATGAATCGATTTGTTCAAAAAATTGTTTGACTTTTCATGGACGAGAGAAAAAGAAAAATGAAAGCATTCATAATAATATGAAAATCTTTAAAAAAAAAAAAAAAAAAAAAAAGTAATTAGTACGTAATAATTTGAGTTATTAATGATTCTTCATTTTAACGAAAAATATTTAGAGAATAACGAGGAAATTGTAAATATGACAAATGATTAATAAGAAGGGAAAAGATTGATTGGTATCGCATGATTTGCTCGAGGAAGAAGAAGAATTAGAAGAAGTAGAAGAAGTAAAAGTAGAAGAAGAAGAAGAAGAAGAAGAAGAAGAAGAAGAAGAAGAAGAAGAAGGTTTATTCCATTTATCGAGGAGTGCAGGATATTGCGAGTCTAACTGCTATAAATCGATTTCTCATACTCTTTCACGCGTTTCCACGGGATTGGTTCAATCGAACACGATGAAATATCTATCATATTGCTCATTCCTACCCACGAAAACCACGTAACGTGAACGACCAATAAAAATCGACGAAACGTCTTCTTTTCTTCGCTTACTTTTCAATACGTATTTGGATCACACGTACATATATTCGAGTACGCCATATGTTTATAGATTTTTCTATAAACCGATAGAGTGTAATCTAAAAGTTCCCCAAAAAAAAAAAAAAAAAAAAAAAAAAGAAAATAGTGACTTTACAAATAAGTTAGACTTTTCTTTTTTATACTTTTCGAACTAATTCCTTTTCTTTCTTTTCTTTTTTTGCGGATAATAGAAAAAAAAAGAAAAAAAAAAGAAAAAAAAAAAAAAAAAAAGAAAACATAATTAACAATAAAGTGTCACGTAAAAGGTGTGATTTATTTTCTCAAAAGTAATCTTCGTTAGATCCGGTATTTTTTGATAATTTATAAATCGGACGAAAGATATTGTTGTCTCATAAAAAAATAAGAGCAAAGAAAAAAAAAGTGAGAGAGAAGAAAAAGCAAAGCACAAAAAAAAAAAAAAAAAGAAAAAAGAATAGAAAGAAAGATGATCGTTAACGACGTCGTTTCTCAAAGCTTAACGAGTACCCCAAGCATTAGAAGTAGAAAAAAGGAAAGAGGATAGTAGAAAAAGGTAGAATGGAAATTCTAAGACTTATTTCACCTTTGCAGGTTCACAATGCTTGGTGAAAAAGTGACACAAGTACCAAGGCCGAGCCTTAGCAACTATTTAAAGCGTGTCAAAGCAGAGCCCAAGGCATCTTTGGTACAGCTAGCTTCACTCTACGATGCCCTTGGGAAGGATGCTAGAAAACAGGGTTATGGTAAGTACTTTGGATATTCCGACGAGGTTCTCCAGGTGCTCGATACATCGGCCGAAGGTGGTATCGGGCCTCAATTGAAGAAGTTATTGAACAAGATCCTTGAAAGGAACGAACTCACCAGGGAAGACGCCAAAAACAGGACGAAACTCGTAATACGAGATCTCGAAGAACCTACCAGTGTACTTAGCAACGATCTTAGAAATCTTTTACCTCTTCGTTTTTCCTTTTCTTAAAATGTTCTCCTACTTCTGATCTTCCATTTTTCTTTCCTTCCTTCCTTCTTTCCATCCTTCCTTCCTTTTCTTTTTTTCCTTCTGCTGATAAAAGACAAAAAGAAAAAAAAAAAAAGAAGTTTCATTAAATAGTCGTATAATAATTAATAGACGAAAATTGTTAATCTGTTAACCGAGGGACGAGAGAGTGGAACGACGAGTCAATTATTTTAAACAAGATTTCAATTCTCTCTGATTTAAACAAAAAAAAAAAAAAAAGTAAATCATTTGACCCTCGCGATCTGTCCAATTAAAAGAAAAAGACGGAGAGAGAGAGAGAGAGAGAAAGACGTAAAAATCTATTATATATCTCTTTATTTTACGATTCATTAATTTATCCGAAGTGTCCATCTCTCACCACCATCGCTATTTCCCCATCATCAAGCCTACCCATCCACCCCCGCCCTCCTCTCCGCTTCTATTTTAACCATTTTTGAATGAAAATATATTTTAATCATCTCGAATGAAAATATATTCTGATAGATTCACCTTCATCGATCATCGATAGTCTTTCTACGCTAACCGTACATGCGCGGTTAACAGGTTAAAATTTAATAAATTTATCAATCGTAAAGATTAAAAAAAAAAAAAAAAGAAAAAAGAATTAAAGAAAAAGAAAAAGAAGATGAAGAAGAATAATATTAAAGTCGCCCTGTCGAGAGCAAGTGCCTATTTAATGTGTTTCATCGAAAATGACAAAGGGCTGAAACGTGATCCGAATCGTTTCAACCATCTGTCTGTGGTTACCGAGAGAAAGAAAGGAAAAAAAAAAAACAGAAAAAAAAAGAAAAAGAAAAAAAAAAGTAAAAAAAAAAAAAGAAAGAAGAAAGTACATTAAAACTCATCCGGAGAAAAATGATAGGACTTTGATCTAGGCTACTGCGAATTAGTGTTCCTTCGTGATCGGGAAACGAATTGGTTAGGGAAACCAAAAAATTACTCTGGTGCTTCTCGACATTTTATGGCAGGTTGCATGCGATGCATAAGTCCGAATGCGATTGATCAATTTTTTTTTTTTTAACCTACTCTTTTTCAACATTCTCCTCTTCTTCTTCTTTTTTCTCTTTTTAAAATTTTTTTTTTATTCCATAAGCCCTCTCTGGCCTAATTTCTTTTCGTTTTTACGTGTCTACGTATCTGCGAACAAAATTATTATTTCATTATTATTATTATTATTATTATTATTATTATTATTATTATTATTATTATTATTATTATTATTATTATTATTATTATTATTAATATTATTATTATTATTACTATTAAATATGTATATCGTACATCGGATATATCATATATTAAATATATATATATATGATTGTTCTCGATGAGAAACAGTTAAGTATCTAAGTTGTCGAAGTTGCGAACAATTGTATTCGTTCGATATAATTAAATCTATTTGTCTAACGTTGTATAGATAATTTCTATCATAAATTTAGAACATTATAACTTTGTAATTTTTTCCTTTTTTTTTTTGGTTTCTTTCTATTTGTTATCCTTTTATCAATATTCTATTAAGTTTTAAGTCGCTGCTACTTTCAGACGAATGTTTCGCCTTTCAGCAAGAGAAAGTAAGTAAACATCTTCGAAACATCTGCTTTTCATAAAAAAGCATCCTCCTATTCCTCTCGTTCGATATTTCACGTCTGTACGTCATCGGCTTCTAAACGTTTACCCTATATATATATATATATACCATAAATCTTTTTTATCATAATCGCATAATATACTCTTTCAATATCTTCAAAAATTTCCCAAAAGAAAATTTATTTATAAGACGTATACTTACATAGACGTCTTATACACGATTGACTCATATCTTACATATTAATGTAATACGATTGTTCGAAAGCATTGTCTAATAAAAATGTCATTGTCTAAAACCTCAGGCTGGTTCTAAGAAACGAAAAAAGAAAACCAAAAAAAAAAAAATATATATATATACATACACACATATATGACTCAAAGCTATATTCAATAATTATAAAAGTGAACGGTTTAAAACTTTTTTTAATCATCCTTTCGACTGATAAAAAGATCGACTAATACAAAAAAAAAAAGATAAAAAGAAAAAATATACACACACACGATCCAAATGATTCTGTCTTATTTTCAAAGATCACCTTGACCCATCGTCGAATCCAAAGATCGATATTGTTTAATGCCCGCTGGATTATGAGTTGGCAAAGACTCAAGCGCATCAATACGTGCTTGGACTTGCCAAACGGTGTATTGACTAATTCTGTGTCAATTGCTGTATCCAATACGCAAAGTCGCCGGCTAAAACAATAGATATGCATTTCATCGTAGTATTATAGACGATCAGTTTTTACGCCCTTGGTTTGAAAGCAGGTATAAATTGATTTTGAAATTGATGATGGTCTTCAGTCGACGTTACAAGCTATCGAGTGTGGGCGTATTGAATTGCGTTAGATAAAAATTTAATTTCTATTGAGCATAAAGGCAAACGACGAACAAGAAAAAATACAAATAAAAATAAAAATAAATAAATAAATAACAAAATGAAGATCTCCCTGGGATATTGTTTGGTTCTTTGCGTAAGTAAAATTTATTTTCTATAATAATCAAATTTTGAAAATTTTTCTTTTTTGTCAATGTTACGATCGTAATAAAACAATTAAATTTTTTCTTTCGATAACAAGAAATTTAGAAGAAATAATAAAAAGAAAAAAAAAAAAAAAAAAAAAAAAAAGAAAACCTAAACGGAGACAATTAATTGCCGCGACAATATTTACGATATTAATTATATTGCGTAGTAATAATTTTTACGCTAAATTCGATATGGCAAGTAATATCGATTGTACAGGTCTCACCACATAAAGGTTCTTGCGCGTACGGAGACCCAATTTATCAAATCTTTCGAAATCAATCGTGTATAACTATTAATCATTATTTCGAAATATATATTCTAACGTGTGAGACAAAAAAATTGTCCCGAGAGAAGAGAAATAAAAAAAAAAAAAAAAAAAAAAAAAAATAAAAAGAAACGTCAAAAAGAAAAATAAGATGAGCGAAATCGTGACAATGAAAATTCCAATGGTCATATAAATATCAATTCTTGACAATTTTCTGATATGAGGTTAGAAAAAGAAAAAGAAAAGGGAAAAAAAAAAAAGAAAAAGAAAATTAATTCGAGAATAAATCTTGAATTTTAACGACTATATTAGCTACGAATAACGCGCGTCAACGTGTTTTATAAAAATGATGCTAATTCTAAGTACTTACTATGAGTTGGGGCAAAATGGCGTTTGGGTCGCGCATGCGCAAAACTTGACTTTTTATTCTACCCCGAATTCGACCGAAATATATGCATATATATATATATATATATACACACATATATATACAAAAGCGCGTAAGGGATGTTGGAACGGGGAAAGGGTGAGACACCCATTCGCGATAAAAAATATAATATATACATATTATCAAAACTACTTATTAAAAAAAAAAAAAAATAAAAAAAAAATAATAATTTGATTTTATATTCCAACAGCTCCTATCAACGAGAGTACAAACGAAGCCACAAATAACAAAATTATTTCCGATCGAGGAGATACACGTTAACGATCATCGTGAGCCTAGTAATAATAATAATAATAATAACGAGACAAAACTATTCGACAAATTATTTGGAAAATTACGTGCAACATATAATTTTGTATTTCGCAAAGGAGATAACAATGTTACTATCAGTAACGTCGGAAAAATATTACCGAAGGACGCGCCGAATCCCGATATCGAGGCATTGAAATTAATTTGGAAAAATCCAATAAATACGAATTCGGGTATAACGAAATTAAATCCACAAGTCCCAAAGGAATCTGAGAGATATCAAACGAGAATAAAAACACTTTACGACGAGCCGAGATATGACAGATTCGAAGAGCTCCAACCGTTGGAACAATTGGAACCTTTAATGCCATTGGAATTTGACGTGGAAAATGATGATAATAAAAAGGACAAGGACGTTG